ACACTATACAGTAATATACTTCGAAGTTAAAAAAGATCAAATCCCCGTTAATCTTGAAATGTATTATTGTGATTATTATCAATAATAATATTTCACTGTGTCTGCTATATGAAGACGCCACATGCCAAGTGATTCATAATGGAAAGCTCGGTGACAGCTTTGAAGTGATGACAGGAGTAAGACAAGGCTGCCTACTATCACCGATGATCTTCCTGATTGTGGTTGACTGGATCATGCAACAAACTGAAAGCCTGACCGACGAAAAGACACTAGAAGATTTGCATTTCGCCGACGACTTATGTCTAAAGTCGCACAAACTTGAAGATCTACAGGTAAAATCCAACAAGTCGAAAGAAGAGGCGAGGCAGCGAAGATGGGACTTCAAGTGAATACAGAGAAGACAGAGGTGATGAAGATACCTAACCAACAACAACAAGCACTAATCATCATGAGCGGGAGAAACCTAGAGGAAGTTGTCTTTTTCACCTACCTAGCTACTTAGGCAACATCGTTTCAACTACAGGCGGCACAGCCACATGCGGATGTCAAAGCCAGCCAGGATCGGAAAGACAGCAAAACAGGCCTTCCTTCATCAATCTGAAATCAGTGCGGAGATCTATTGCATTGAACTGCACTCAGCATAAAGAGTGAACAAGATCTGGATTTTCAACACCAATTCAGTCCAGCAACTCAGTGGTTCTATGTGATGGTTGAGAGACTTGGCACATTACGAAAAGCATTTCCAACAAACTACAGGCATCAACAGGTGCCGCCTACATTCGCTCCATACCGGAGATGGAGGGAGATCAGATGGCCAGTAAGGATAAGCAAGGGGAACTGTGGCATGGCAATGAACCAATCAACGAAGCAAGAACCCATCGACCAACAAGTATACATGAGAAGAAAGTGAAGATGGATTGAACATAGGCTGAGAAGACGGTTTTGGGACATCACACGCCAGATCAGGTCGTCGAGTGGTTACTTGAATGAGAAACGACTAGTTGGGCGTTGGAGGGTGACATGAAGGAGACGGTGTGAGGAAGAAATGAAAGCTTGTGAACAGTGGTGGAACCAGACTGGAGAGAAGAGAGTGGAATGGCTATGAGCTACTGAAGTCCTATGTTCAACTAGTAACCCAAGGAACAAATAATAATAATAATAATAATGTAAGTGTCTAACTGATTGACAATCATTGATTGTGAAAAGTGACTGTAGCTTACTACTAAACCGTAAAATATTCCAAGTCATTTGGTATAGCATGTTAGATGCTTGAAATAACTCAAAAAATGTGTGTGTGTGTGTGTGTATATGGTATTTACAATCTACTTGATTATGAATAGTTAAATTCCTGAGCACAATAATAATTTCTTTCTTTTTTTTTTTTTGTTGCTATCTATCCATCTTATTAAGTTAGATTTTTCTTTCTTCATATCTCTATGTACCGATAGAAATAGTATCAGTAATGAAACGGTGAAAAATTATCTCCATTCACTATATACACACACATATATATCGTTTGTGTACATTGGTATTTTCCCTACGTAATAATATATACTGTCTGTTTACAGCAAGTAATACTTTTCACATTTCAATGTTTGTAGATTACATATTCATGTACATTCAATAATGATTTGCTTACTTATTCTACAATAGTAGTATATGCGCGCATATATTTGCATCAAATTATAGAATCATATGACATTTACATGTTTTTTTTTATTGTTGTAGTGTACCAAAAGAAAAAAGTCTTTCAACTTATGAATCACTTCACTTGTTTGCGTCATCCTTAATTAATTAGTTCGTTGTCAATTTTCATTCAGCTCTTAATAATTCATATCCTTTTAATCCAATGTGGTACATAGAAATAGTGCTTTGTATTAATGGAGAATATTTGTAGTTATAAAAGGATGATTTCTGTTGTATTGGTTTAATGTTAGAGCTTTAATTGTCATTTTGAATAATGACATTAGAAAAAACTTTAAAACGAAGGTGAATTTCAAGAATTCCTATAGTTTGTTGTGATGATCTTAAATGTGATTGATTACTTCTGCTATATATAATCTTGTCATCATACGTGTTTCGATTAACTATGTCTACTTGATGTAAGCTCTCTAACCTTGAAATGATAATGGTTTGGTGTTCTTTAAGCTTTGATATTTTGTCGTGAACGTTACATCAACAAGCTGGTTGACATCTTCATCACTAACTTCACAAAGAAGTGAAACATATTTAAATGTTACACAGATATTTAAATGATATTTTATTGACCTAGGGTGTTGGCCAATTGTAAGTTGGAGAAGAAAATTTTTTATCACATCCTTACCTTTCTGATGATTGTTTCTGTGGATTATATTTTGTCTTGTCTCCTTTTGGCAATGAGTCCTTTGGTTTGCATTATATATATATATATATATATATATATATATATATATATATATATATATATATATATATATATATATATTAGTCCCTTGGGTTCCTAGTGGAACACAGGGCTTCAGTAGCACGCCTCCAGTGAACTCTGTTCTCTGAGATCTTTTGAACCTGGTTCCACGACAGCCCACAAGCTCGCATTTCCTCCTCGTACGATCTCCTACATGTCACCCTAGGACGTCCTACTCGTCGCTTCCCATGGGGATTCCACTCGAGTGACTAGCCTGACGCGTGATGTCCCCAGTCGGCCTTCTCAGTGTATGCCCAATCCATCTCCACTTCTTCCTGCATATTTGTTGGGTGATAGGTTCTTGGTTGGTTCGTTCCCAGAGTTCCTTGTTGCTTATTCTCATTGTTCTGGCCATCTGATCTTCAGTAGCGAGTCAGTGTAGGCGGCAGTTGTTGATGAATGTCTGTAGTTTATTGGAAATCCCTTTCGTGACGCGCCAAGTCTCTGAACCATACAGGAGCACTGACTTGACGTTGGTGTTGAAAATCCGGATGTTGTTCCACATGCTGAGTGCAGAAGATCTCCACACTGGTTTCAGGCTAATGAACGCCTGTCTTGCTTTTCCGATTCTGACTTTGACATCCTCGTCTGTGCCTGTGCCGCTTGTAGTTGAAACAGTGCTTCCTAGATAGGTGAAGGAGGTTACTTCCTTTAAGTTTCTCCCGTTGATGGTGACTGGAGTTTGTTGTTGTTGCATAATATGCTGTTTAGTTATTTCGTTGGTTTGTGTGCTATTCTGATTCCGAAAGGATGAAGCAGTCGGTTGACTGTTTCTGAGATGATATCTTTGATGTAGGGTAGTTATAACGTGCTTATTGATTTGAGGCAGTTGCCCTGTCTTCTGTTGTGGTGGTGATCAACGCATTTTGATACAGTTGGGTGGATAATCATTGGATTTGAACACTGTACAAGTAATTTTTCTTGGACTTTCCGTAGTGCTTTAGTTCTGTAATTTGCTTTGGCTGTTGAGAATAATATTTGTACATGGAAGACAAGGCAACTGAATCAAATCAATAAGCACGTTATACCACTCTACATCAAAGATATTATCTCAGAGACAATCAACCGATTGCTTCATCTTTTCGGAATCAGAGTAGCACACAAACCAACGAAATAACTAAACAGCATGTTATGCAAACCAAAGGACTCATTGCCAAAAGGAGACAAGAAAAAATATAACCTACAAAAACAATCGCGAAAACTGTTCACAGCATTAAACTGGCCATTCTAACCGTCGGATTGCCCAAAAAGCTCATGAACACCAACTAGCTGTAGAGCAGCATGATGCGGCATCCTTATTTTCAATGTATCCAGACAATCACGATCACAAATTCGACTGGGAGAATGTGGAGATTCTCCAGAGAGTGGATCCGAAATGCTGCAATACCGTTTGTAGAAACATGGCATTCAAATGAAATGTCAGTCAACAGACATGTGGATATAGACTGAGGAAGTAAGCCATCATCCACCAAACAAAGGACAAACTGACCGAACAAATCAATAGTGATGCGTAGTGTGACTGTAACAAATAAACCAAGTTTACTCTTAGAAAAGGATTCTCTATCAGCTCAATTGAAGGAAATTCAAGGTCTAAAAGACAGATGTGGTACAGAAATCTCTTCTTCAACATGAAATTGGACAACACCCTGGGTCAATAAAACATCATTTAAATATCTGTGTAACATTCAAATATGTTTCACTTCTTTGTGGAGCTAGTGATGAAGATGTCACCCAGCTTGTTGATGTAACGTTCACGACAAAATATCAAAGCTCAGAGAACACCGAACCACTATCGCTGTCTGACTTTGTTCTTGTTTCTCGTTTTTATTATGGGTTAATATCAATATGCTTATGGATCGCTGAATGACCCGAGTAGATAACAAGCTACCTAAAATTCCCAGACATTCTATATATTTCATCTATTCAAGATTTCACGTTTTCTCAGCACCACTTGTGCGTAAGGTAGAGGAATCATAAAGTGAACAATCCTGAGATTAGTCGTATAGTGCTAGGAGGAAAGCATAGGAATATGATGCACGCACTGAACCATCCTCTACCTCCCTTTGTCATCGTAGCCAAGGCAGGGTTATTGTTCGAAGGAACAGATAAGTGGTCAAACCAGGGTGTTGTACTAATCCCTTAAGTCTGTGACTGTCGGTCTGATTTCTGTAAGAAGATGTAGACTACCGCCTGATTGGAGTTCTCGGAATGAAATTACAGTGGTGCAGACATTCCCACTTTATTGTCTTCGAGATTTCATAAATTACTGTCATTAACAGCTGGTGACTGTTCTGTTATCATTATAGTTCGTTGTCGACTACTTTTGGAGGAGGAAGTCTCAAGCAGAAATCCTAACGTCATCACAAAATCAGGTTTTAGCTCTCTCTCTCTCTCTCTCTCTCCGTATTTGTGTGTGTGTGCATAAAATAACTGACGTAATCTCAGTTATAACGCCTTTTTGAGATCCGTTTTGTGAATTCATGAGTGTTTTGGATTTCCGCTTTCTCTTTGAAAAAGTATCGTTTATTTTATTATTGTTACTTTCCTGTTATTTTAGATCCTCATAATTGGCCTCCATTTCCATCATTCTGTCCATGCAAACCGTGTGTTAGACAAGACTTTGATAATGATATACCATATGATTGTCGATGGATGGCTAAAATGGGCTATGGTATCTGGTTAGGTTATGCTGCATTGTTATTACTAAATATGGGTGGGACACTAGGCTACTTTATTGTTGGTCATGGAGCAGCTGAAGGACCGTTATTTGGTGCTTCCATCTTGTTAGCGCTGGTTATGCCACCTGTCAGCTTTTTTGGTTGGCATCGGCCTTTGTATAAAGCATTGAGGTAAGTGTAGTTATAATGCTTAAGTCATTGCTTATTTTATGTCATTTCTTTCATGTGGTTAAGTCGCACCCGATAGCTACCACCTTGACGTGGTAGTCGGGCACCAGCTACACTGGTTAGGACGCTTGTTCCCTCGCAGTACTTTGGATAGTGATTGGTAAGATGAAAAACATTCGCCATTGTACTGTAAACTGCTACACTATGATAGGGATCTAGGTGCGAAATCATATTGCTGGCTCGACAGAGGTGGAACATCAATAAGGTGTTTCCCTCAAATGGACTAGCAATGCCACACTGATGCTGCCTACCACATCTCACACTAATAATCTTGAAAAGGCTGTGTGTGACAGGCCTCAAACAGGGCTCTAATGTCCTGTACCTTAAGAAGAAATAACCTTCCGCGGTCTAGACAACAAAAAGGTGTCAACCGCCCACACGCTTCAGTAGCATTTTAAACCCAATGAAATATAACCTATCCACCTGAACTCTGTCTATATTGAAAAATGTCTATATGGACCTAACTCCCTTCCCCTCCCTACCGTACCTGTTTCACTGTAAAAATATAGACACATTTTATTCATAGTTAATAATATTTATAATTCTCCACCTTTCTTCCTATTTTTATAACCTCATCAGGTCAGACAGTTCGATGAATTATTTCATATTTTTCATTTTCTTTTCTGGACAAACTATTATCATTTTAATACAATGTCTTGGAATCGATTATCTTGGATCATGGTGAGTCGATTTTGATTTTTGTCTTTTCTTCCATTATACTTTGAGAAAGAATAAATTTATTGCATTTTTGAGATGAATGGGAATTTTTTCTAATTTAGAAGTAGTATTCATCATGGACTACTGACATCAGTTGGGGAACCATTGAAAATCCGGAAGCACTGGACACCTGTTTCGTCCTAGTATGGGATTCCTGAGCAGTACGCACCCACAACCCGGCTAGGGATGGAACTCGGGACGTTCAGGTTTCACGGCAAATGCACTAACCATTCAGCCACTCGGTCGGTTTCCACTGGTTGACAATTTCCAACTTCTGTCAATTCACGACATAGCGCGACTATCACCCAAGGTCTTCAGTTAGCATGCACTTCACTTCGGACTGGTTTGGTTGACCCCACAGGTCACGGCTTCTCATTACACCTTTGTGATATGCATCTGGAAGCAAGTCATTAATGAGGGCTATGCGGTAATGTATTTTTGAGATGGATGAGGATTTTTAATTTAGAAGTAGTATTCATCATGGACTACTGACATCATTTGGGGAAGGATTGAAAATGTGGGAGCACTGGACACCTGTTTCTTCCTAGTATGAGACTCCTCAGCAGTACGCACCCACAGAAGTTGGAAATTGTAAAACCACTGGAAACCGACCGAGTGGCTGAATGCTTAACGCGTTCTCTGTGAAACCTGAACGTCCTGAGTTCCATCCCTAGCCGGGTCGTGGCACATTTAAGAGTCAGCAAAATCATTCCTTCTTTTCGTAAGTTTGAAAGGAGGGATATAATCTAACACTTTGCTTGTTGTGTCAAGCATGAAAGTTTTCTCGAAGAGTTTATGATTTGATAAAGTATAAAGTGAAATAGAAATCTGATCACCAGTTGAGTCTGATAACTCAGTTGGTAGAGCGCCGGGCTAAAAACCCGATGGTCGACCATTGAAATCCTGCTGTGGCCCAAATTTTCATTTCATCTTCAGTCACTACTTGATGGCGGTTAGCAGAGGAATCCAAGACGAATGTTTCGTCCTATTTGGAACTCCTCAACTCGATTTACCTTTCTCCCAGTGAGTGATGTTGTTCTCACCATGACTTTGACGCAGGACCGACCGCTTCAATAGCCAGGGCGTTGTAGTTTCGTCCTTCAGTTTCTAGGTGTTAGACTTGAACTGTGGACTATCACCAACCTCTTTGAAGCTTTCAACTTGATTTTGAGGGTTCCTTGCACTAGATAGTGGTCTGAACCTAGATCTGCTCCTCGTCTTGATCTTGTGTCCTATCGCCATACAAATATGCCAAAAGAAGTGATGATAGATTGGATTAAACATAGGCTGCGAAGACGGTTCGAGGACATCATGCCCCAAGCCCTCGAGTGGGAATTGAATGGGAAACGATGAGTTGGACGTCCGAGTGTAACATAGAGGAGGCGGTGTGAGGAAGAAATGAAAGCTTGTGGACTGTGGTGGGGTCAGACTGGAGAGAAGAGGGTGGAATGGCTATGTGCTACTGAAGCCCTATGTTCGACTAGTAACCCAAGGAACAAATAATAATAATAATCTATCAGCTTGAGAGGTGGGGACATTTATAAGCCTGCTGATGGCAGTTTAAAATCAAGACCAAAATAATGAGCATATCTGGTGATATAATTGTTAATCTTCTCATTTAGTATTATTGAACACTGGTGTCGAACTTCTCAATTCAAGGGATTGAATATTATCTTCAAGTCGAATGTATATATATATATATATATATATATATATATATATATATATATATATATATATATATATATATTAGTGTTCGATGCCACTATGTGTATGTTTTTGTTGTTGATCCGTGATGTGGAAGCCATAAGGCAAAGTAAAACGGAATGTGGAAGATACTACTGTTGAACAACTTGATTGGTAGTAGTAGTAGTAGTAGTGTTTAACCAATAGGATCAGAGTGTGTCGACTGACTGGTTTCCAGCGAAAACCCTGTTGACACCAGAATTGGGCCATTGAACAACTACTCAGCTATGAGATTTGTCAACATGGATTGTGCAGTTTGTAAATCACTTGCAAACTAACCGTTCTAATAAAACGCACACTTTTCAGTGTCTACTTTTATCTACCCTTCTGTACGATAATGAAAGTTTGTTTCTGTTTGAATGTTATTCACCAGAGAAAAAACTCCTTGATACTATTACAACTCATCAACTCAGCTATATAACTAGGTGTATGTGTAGTTTTATACCTACCGAATGAATTTTTTAATGAACTAGTGTTCAGACTTATAGAACTTTGTTGTGTTACAGCGATCATAGTCAAGCTCGATTAGTATATCAGCGGACGTAAAGGAACAAAACGCTTTGTCACCTTGTGGACATCCGTACATTCGGCAGTGAGTCAGCCACACCTTTTTTGTGTGTGGGGGATGGTGATACTACCCGACTGCCCGAACCTCGGCAGGTGGAATGGAGTTCGAAACCCGTGACTCAGTGGTTGGCATTCATCTCCCTAAGCCACTGAGCGACAGCTCCACACCCCAGTGTATCAAAGTAGTGAGTATCCTTTAGTTCGAATGCGTATGGTTCAGTTAACAGATCGTATAAAGTCAGATCTCTCATGATTAGAAGAACAACCCAATAAGGTGCATTCAAAAAAAACATTCATTACTTTTCAGCAGCAAAATCTGAAAGGAGGCTATAGCATAACCGCCACTGGTCTCTACTCTGAGCCATATTTGATAACATCTCAAGCCACTGAATTACTTGATCTCTAGAACCTCACCCAGGGAGTTGTGGTGCATCAACAGATGCTAACGTGATACAACTATCCTTCATACCACGGCGCCACATCATACACTGACCATCCCTTCGCATCTTCCATCCAGTCCAAGGGCTAGCAAACAATGGTCGGTATGAAGGCCGTTCGGGCGACATGCATAATACATATCGAGGCCACCAAAGCCGGTGTTTCCAGATGACTTCACTTATTGAATGACGACGATCTCCATCATGCTCAAACACGCGCTGTCGTTCCTCGGGATTACTTACATGGTGTTGCCACCGGACACGAGCAGTCCTACGGAGACGACGATGATCAAACACATAGGGTCGTCGCATATTCTCAGCTTGTGGAGGCCAGGTTTCACAGTTGTAGCGCGGAACTACTCGCACCTAAGCGTTTTTAACCCCATCTTTTACAGTCTGTCTAACGTCACGACGATGCCGGATTCGCGTATGCCACTCTGGCTTTCTATATGCGGTTAGACGTTTTATCACTCACGCCACCAGCACTTGTGCAAGTACTCAGATACACGAACTATCCGACTATTTCTAAAGGGTGAGCGCGGACATAGGCTCCTGTCAATCTTGCAGAACCACTTTGTGCTTCGATGGTGCAAAGCATATACCATAATTACAGACATTAGTCGCCAAGTGATTAAATGCGATTTGAGTAACCTATGTGTTATCGCACATAAGGCGATATCGTCCGACCATTCAAGGTTGGTAAAAATGTCTGTATAGGCCATCTCCATTGCAACTCAAGGGACGGGACAAATGTCCTTTCAACGCAGAGTTGAGGCTGCAAAATGTTAATTGTTATGGCTTCAGCAGTTTGAAGAAGTTTCAGACTTGCACGAACTCTATAGATGATACTGAAGTTGATTTGTGCATTTACCGGGTGGTTATAATCGATCGAATGTTCTAAAATAGATCTATGAGGTGCTCTCCTTTGTGAAACCAGGCGGATCATATGTTTGGAAAGCGAGTACTCAATACAGCCCATATATACAGCAGGTAAATCGATAGGCACATATCGGGGTAGCCGAGGGAACTAATTTTTCCTTTATGCCTAGTCGGCAAAGCACTAAGTAGGTAGGAAAAGTTAATTTAGTTTTGGTAACATAGGAAATCATTATCTTGGCATTAAATTCATTTGCGCACTAAACTGCTCATTAAAATCATTTTGATCATGGCGTCAAATAGCGTAGATTATGAATTGGACTACGAAACACAAACACTCACATCTTTGAAATTGATAATCTCTAGTATGTTGACTTATAGTTTATTCACCTAATGATGATACTGGGCAATGACTGAAGGTGAAATGAAAATCTGGATCTCGACTGGATTTGAACCAGCGACCACTGGGTTGAGTTAGATTTCGACGGGGATAAGAAGTCCTGATTGGGCAGCCAGTGTGAGTGTACAATCAAGTGATAGTAACACGTTACGCATTCACATGGTGGTCGGGCGAAACCTATGGTAATTGAAAGTGAAATAAAAATATGGCCAGCAGTCGGACCTCGTGGCGGAGTTGGTAGAGCATCAGGTTAGAAACCCGGTGATGGCTGGTTGGAATCCCACCGCGGTCGAAATTTTCATTTCACCTTCAATCATCTTTACCCAGTATCTGTGAAACAACAGCTATCTCAGATAGTCAAAGTGATATTTACTGGCTATCAAAGAAAATTCAATTAATTGTGTTACAGTCTCGACAGCTAACCTTCATCTAGTTTTTGTATTGTACCAATGATGATATTTTCAATTCGTATATCATCATTTCAGTGGTTGGATTAATGGAATAAAAATCATGAATTACAATGACGGTGTCGGGATCCTTATGCTGTTGATTGCCACTTATTTTCAATTCTTGCAGGATTTTGTGCTGTCCTACTATATAAGGTAAATCATATTATTGCTTAGTATTCTTTCTGTATATTTAATATGATGGTCTATTGTATTCCACTTCAGCGTATACATACATCACTTATCTCTTTCATATCAGTGTATAAAACTTGGGCACTATGGTAGAATTTAATTCCATATTAGATTTGTTTATTTGATTTATTACACACAATGTGATACAGCATTATTTACTTGGTGGTGTTTCGAGCATAAATTATCATTCGTCATAATCATATCGACATCTCATTTTTATAGTCCTATCACCTCATATTCTTTATTTCTATTGGTAGTAAAGTTTCCCGTATCTCCAGTACAGATGCTGTGTCATTCCTATTACACGTGTTGGAGGTTGGCTGGTTCCATGAATAGACGGACCATTCAGTAGTTAATCTCTCTCTCTCCATCTAATCATATTGGACTTCACTACAGTGATTTTATCCCATCCCATTGTGTAGTTATGTGTGTTAATGCGTGGATTGCAACAGCTAAGTTCTTCTTCAGATTATTGATCTTATTCAGGTCTGTCATTCTATATTTAGCTAAATTCCTATGTTCTGCTGTTCTGATTGACTCCGACCGACTAGTTTCATCTATGTACTTGACCTGACTCACAGTCATTACATGGGATTTGATAGATTAGAGTATTTTGCTTAATTGGTTCTATCGGGTGCTGAAGCCAGTTGACAAAGCTTATCTGTGAGTGAATTTGTAGGTTTGAATGCCACACTAATTTCAGCTTTGTTGAGGATCCTAAGTAAAGTTTCAAATTTACCTATCTTACTTAAATTGATAGCACAGCACAATAGAGGCTTTGAACTCTCTCTACTCGTGTTGCTGTTACTTTTTCGTTTTCTGTGTGTTCCTATGAATTTTTTAATGAGCGGTAGAGGATAATTATTAAGTATTAACGCTTGTTTTATGTGCTTCAGTTCCCTGTTTCGGTCCTTGCACTGACTAGGCAATTTTCTAGCTTAATCACTTAGACATTTGATCAAACTTGCCTTCACTGACTGACATTCGATGAGGTGACTTGATGTCAGGAAATTTGTTAGAATGTGTCAGTTTACTGTAAATGGTAGTATTCAAACCAGTCTGTCCTTCGTTTTATTATGCAATCCAATATAGGTAATTCTCTTTGTTCATTTTCTACCTCCTCGTAAGTGAATTGGATTGTGCCTACTACTGAGTCTATATATGTGAGTAAATTGTCGACATGTTCCGATTTTAGCTCAATAAATGTGTCATCCACATATACCCACCATATCTTAATGGAGGACTAAACGTTTGTAACACCATGTTTTGCCAACTATCGAAACGTCATCAAGTAAAAAAACCTTATATGGAGCCACTTATCTCTCTTTACAAGTATGTTTAGGGGTCGAGCAATTCCACCCTGAATTGCAACGGGAAGTTACAAGTACCAAACAACACAAGCGGTGGCTCTCATGCTCCAGTGGCCTAGTGGATGACGCCTTGGCGTTTGAAGCAATGGGTACTGGGTTCAAGTCTCAGTCGAAACAACATAACTCACTGGGGTGTAGGTAAATCCAGGTGACAAGTCCAAGATGGGACGAAATACGCGTACTAGATTTCTGTTGCTAGCCACTACCCATCATCACTATCAAATTTAACAAAATACTGGCCGTGTCGGGAGGTATAGGCACAGGAATTCGTATGCCAATAGTAACTGATCAATTCGGTTCAGTCAACGACAGAGATACAAGAGCTATGAAATCAGTAAGTACCAGTATCCCTTGTTGATAAGATGTCAGCGGTCATTAAATCTAGTTCAAGCAACTGTGTTTGATAATCGACTTCTATCATCGTGTTACAGATTTAAGGTACCATATTGTTATATAATGGTGTTTAGACCCATTTGTTTTCGTGATCATCCATTAATGATTACCACTTAATGGTTGCCTGTATGGAGTTCTATGGTATATGGCAGTTGGTTGATACCTTACTGAAAGTTGTTTCAGTGTCCTAATACCATAACTACAGGAACACTGAAATGTCTTATTTAAGTAGATGGTCTAGCTGATGAATGTTGTTTTCCTAGGAAAAACATCAACACTAGGAGGTCGGTCGCTTCATCTTGATCTGTAATTTCATTATCACCCAAGTAAGTCACAATGGAAAGCTCAGTGACGCCTTTGAAGTGATGACAGGAGTAAGACAAGGCTGCCTACTATCACCGATGATCTTCCTGATTGTGGTCGACTGGATCATGCAACAAACTGAAGGGAGCGAGAAGAGGGGGATACGCTGCTTGACCGCGGAAAAGAACTTAGAAGATTTGCATTTCGCCGATGACTTATGTCTAAAGTCGCACAAGCTTGAAGATCTATAAGCAAAAACCAACAAGTTGACAGAAGAGGCGAGGCAGCGAAGACGGGACTTCAAGTGAATATAGAGAAGACACAGGTGATGAAGATACCCAACCAACAACAAGCATCAGTCACCATGAATGAAAGTAGTCTCTTTCACCTACCTAGCTACCTAGACAGCATCGTTTCAACTACAGGTGAGGACGTCAAAGCCAGCCAGGGTCTGAAAGACAGCAAGACAGGCCTTCATTAACGTGAAGCCGTTGTGGAGACCTACTGCACTCAACATATGGAACAAGATCCAAATTTTCAACACTAATTCAGTCAAGCAAGTCAGTGGTTCTATGTGATGGTTGAGAGACTGCGCGTTACGAAAAGCGTTCCCAACAAACTACAAAAATTCACCAACAGCCGCCTACGCTTAATACTGAAGATTAGATGATCAGAAAGAATAAGTAACATAGAACTCTGGCCTGGTAACAAACCAACCACAGAAGCAAAAACCTATCACCCAAAAAGTACGCAGAGAAAAGTGGAGATGAATTGGATTGGACATACACTGAGAAGACCGATTGGGGACATCACGTCCCAGGCCAGACCCTCAAGTGGAACGGAAATGGGAAACGACGAGTTGGACGTCCGAGTGTGACATGTAGGAGATGGTGTGAGGAAACAAAAGCCTGTGAGCAGTAGTGGAGCCAAACTGGAGAGAAGAGAGTCAAATGGCTATGTGCTACTGAAGTCCTATGTTCGACTAGTAACTCAAGGGACAAATAATAATAATAATAAGTCATGGGTTCGAGCAGAGCTCCACCTAACAAATTTTAGTCAGTTTACACAACAGATGTGGCTCATTGTCTGTTGTACAGATGTGTACAAGGTCGCTTTGAGTGAGCTTTCATTTCGATTCATTAATTAGTACACAATCTCCGTGATTGAACCCAAGTTGTATGATGAAATGATTAGTGTATCGATGTCTTCAGTTAAATACTGACAAATCAATTGTTATTCATTTGGCTACCTCCATTTCAATCGTCAGTGATCTATATTCCTCCTAAAGAGCTGTTCATATCGCTGTGAGTTAGCTCGTGACTGCCAAAATCAACGTAAAACCTCGTACATAGATTCATCGGTTCAAGTTGCCACATTTTACAATAGTACACAAAGTACAGATGGATAGAAAAAGAATGATATCAAAGTAGACAAAGCTGTGTGAGACAATGAACAATTTGAAGATGAAGGTTAGTTTGAATATTCAAGCTTTAGAAGATATCACAAAGAGTGAATACATCTAATGACACTGTGACCGATTCTCAGCCATGTCACCATGAGTCCTCAATCACTGATTTCTGTCGTTTTAATGACCCCAATCTAATTCACCTTCGTCTAGCATGGTAAATAGATGGATGCGGTTGCTTCATGTGCGCAGTACATGTTCATACTATCTCAGTTGATTTAGGTTCATAACCTAATTAATCGACTTGCCTGTCTTGCCTAATACTTCACTTCTGACTTTAACATTGCTCACACGACAGTGATTCCATCAAATGCGAAGATATCTGTTATCAAAACCCTGTAATCGCTACATATCTTCTGCTTTCAACGGCCATTTCTCATAGCCTCTACGTATACTGCGTGGAGTGTCTAAATGTTTGTTGATCAGTAGGGAGGATAAACCTAGCAGATGTTTTCTCTAAGTTTTATCTATCTATAAGAACTTATTATCAACTGTATATTTGTATTAAACATACATGTAAGTTACAGTCTGTTTTAAATAAAAGAATTCCAACTTCGAGCTTCTTCAGGGAACTAATAATAAGAAATAACAAGGAAGTTCAGAAGAGATTTCCGTGGGAAACGTTGAAACTAGTTTTTTTTAAAACACGTAGTGAACCTTGGTCGATTGAAGTGGCTTTGAACATGTGCCGAGCATGCCAGGCTACTACCTACCCTCTATGTTACACACACGTCCAACTCGTCGTTTCCCATTTCCGTTCCACTCGATGACCTAGCTTGATGCATGATGTCCCAAAACCGTCTTCTCAGTCTATGTTCAATCCATCTTCACTTTCTTCTCATGTATACTTGTTGGTCGATGGGTTCTTGCTTCGTTGATTGGTTCATTGCCATGCCACAGTTCCCCCTTGCTTATCCTTACTGGCCATCTGATCTCCCTCCATCTCCGGTATGGAGCGAATGTAGGCGGCACCTGTTGATGAATGTCTGTAGTTTGTTGAAAATGCTTTTCGTAATGCGCCAAGTCTCTCAACCATCACATAGAACCACTGAGTTGCTGGACCGAGTTAGTGTTGAAAATCCAGATCTTGTTCACTCTTTATGCTGAGTGCAGTTCAATGCAATAGATCTCCGCACTGATTTCAGATTGATGAAGGAAGGCCTGTTTTGCTGTCTTTCCGATCCTGGCTGGCTTTGACATCCGCATGTGGCTGTGCCGCCTGTAGTTGAAACGATGTTGCCTAGGTAGCTAGGTAGGTGAAAAAGACAACTTCCTCTGGGTTTCTCCCGCTCATGGTGATTAGTGTTTGTTGTTGTTGGTTAGGTATCTTCATCACCTCTGTCTTCTTTACGTTCACTTGAAGTATACTATCATATAGGTAAGCTTAAATGAATTTCAGAACGTGTAACTTTCTAAGCTTCTTCAGGGAAGTAATAATAAGAAGTAACAAGGCAGCTTGGAAGGAATTTCCGTGGGAAACGTTGGAAATAGTTATTTTTAAAACACGTAGTGTAGACTACCTAGTTGAGGTCCTCAAGGCGATAGGAATCAGCTTTTGAGACATGACTCTTTGGCGTCTTCTAATGCTTGAAATATTCGCACTAATCGTTTCTTTTCAAATTGTTTGTTTTTTTACACTACTTTCTCTACTTTCATGTGACCCTTTTTCTCTCCCGTTGTATACTACTGTGAAGTGTTGTAAGTTGAACCGGTACACTTTGGTATAAGATTATACGTTGACTTTTTTCTGTTTGCTGTCTAACGCAGATATAAAATATATCTAATGTCCAACCTTTTAGTTAATGCCGAATAATTTGCAATACTCATTCATACAAATATATATACAATTCATTTTTGAGATGAATGGGGATTTTTTTTAATTTAGAAGTAGTATTCATGATGGACGACTGACATCAGTTGGGGAACCATTGAAAATCTGGGAGCACTGGACACCTGTTTCGTCCTAGTATGGGATTCGTGAGCAGTACGCATCCATGACTCGGCTAGGGATGGAACTCAGGACGTTCAGGTTTCACGGCGAACGCGTTTAGCATTCAGCCACTCGGTCGGTTTCCACTGGTTGACAATTTCCAACTTCTGTCAATTCACGACATAGCGCGACTGTCACCCAAGGTCTTCAGTTAGCATGCACTTCACTTCGGACTGGTTTGGTTGACCCCACAGGTCACGGCTTCTCATAACACCTTTGTGATATGCATCTGGAAGCAAGTCATTAATGAGGGCTATGCGGTAATGTATTTTTGAGATGGATGAGGATTTTTAATGTAGAGGTTCCCCAACTGATGTCAGTCCATGATAAATACTACTTCTAAATATTTATAAATGTTTTTATATCATACCATCGTTGATTGGACTGAATCGATCGGTCTCTATTTGCATATGGGATCCTGTGCGGATGCCTCGATATTACCTGTGCTCTTATGATAGTAATGATGGATGTTGGCTAGCAGTGGAATCCAGGATGCGCATTTCGTCCTATTTTTGACTCGTCAACCAGAAACAGGTATATCCAGCTTACGAATCCCAAACAGGACGAAACATGCATCCTGGTTTCCACTGCTAGCCATTATCCATCATTACTATCATACAAATATATGTTTCTCATAACAATATTATTTTGTAGATTTTATGTCTTGATAACAAAAAACTTCATATTCTAGGTGCATAGATACTATCGATCATCTGGTGCTAGCCTTCAAAAGGCAAAATTAGAAATGACTAATGCCACCGCGTATGAACATGCTACAGCATTCGGTGCAATGCCGTGATTACTATAACTTACTGATGAAATAATAAAAATGACATGTCACAATATACGGTTAATTTGACTGAAATTTACTACTACCAATATTTTCATATCAACATATTTGAACGTATTTATTCGTGTAAGTGATGTACTAGTATCCAGTGACATATCATTCATCATCTATCCTTTTCTTTCTTTCCCCCTCCCCTTTCTCTCTCTCTTCATTTTTTTCTCTTTTCATATTATACAGAAACAATATTGTTTCTTTCACTTCAAGGAATATTTAATAATATGGCTGTGAAATTTATTTATTTACTTTCTTTTATCTTACAGAATTTGATCTATTGCGTGTTTTCTTATTCATGACAAAAACGTTTCAATATTTTGATTTGTTTGCATATTTTCTTGCCTATCCTTATTTTTTAAAGTGTCCTTTTCACACTACTACTACTACTACTACTACTACTACTACTACTACTACTACTACTACTACTACTATTACTACTACTACTACTACTACTACTACTACTACTACTACTACTACTACTACTACTACTACTATTACTACTACTACTACTACTACTACTACTACTACTACTACTACTACTACTACTATTACTACTATTACTACTACTACTACCACTACTAGTGACTACTGCCAAAAAAGTACATATCTCCTCATCTAACCATTTTATTGTTACATCATCAATGGTTGTTTGTTATAATTTTTTTTAAGTCTTTCTGCCTCTTATCTATGCGCAAAAAAAACTAATTAATTCGCTTTGTTATCATTCTTCTATAATTGGGTTAGAATTTCTGTTTACACATTTACCAATGTTTGTTTTTCGTATTTTAATAAAATGTTCCCTTCTTACTAACTGTACTTGTCTTTTGTTGTTGTTGTTGTTGAAAAGATGCAGTTTATTATATTGTAGTCTATTTGATGCCTAATAGTGGAATCGAAGACGAGCGTTTCGTTCTATTTGGGGCTTATCAGCTGAATTTAACTACACCTCAGTGAGTGAGACTTGATTCCCTAGGGCACGAGATGCAATTCAGTTCTTAGCATATTGATTGTATAGACTCTGAAGCTACTTCCTAATTATATGTTGTAGTTGATACAGACTAGACACCAATAAATGCACCATACAGGAGATGATAGCGACAACAAAAAACAAAGAAAAGCAGAACCAAAGCGAAGATGATAATGGAAGAAGCAAGAAAGTTACAGTATAAATGATCACTAATACACCTATCCTACAGCACAACTTCATACGGTGACCACCTCTCTCGGCTTATTGCAGCTAGAGAACAGTGAATTATATGCCATCCACTGAAATGAAGTTTGTAACACATTTTAAAGTTATTCAAGCCATTGTTTTAGGATGAATTTTGTCACTGGACGACAATCTCCATCTCATTTGAATACACACTGTGTCATCTCAGAATTGCATACACAATGTTTCCACTAGATGCCAGCAATCCTTCATAGACAACGGTGATGGAGCATGCAAAGTTATCGAGCATCTGTGATTCGGAAAAGTTAGGTTTGATTGGCATAGAGCAAACAAACATGCTTACTTCATAACAGGTCTGGAAGGTAGCGAGGTTGATGTATACCTCTTTGACTTTGAAAGTCTCATGCATCATACCTCCACCACTAATCAGACAACTTTTCAGGTACACGAACTTTTGAACAGCGGCTGCGGTACAGATTTGTATCAGTTTTGTAAAAGCACTTTGCAATTCGATGGTGTAGGCAACAAAACAATTACGGATGCTAGTCACTGGCTTGTTAAATGCGATTTGATTAGCCTTTATATTGTCACTATCACATGTTTTCTCAACTAACAGCCGATTCACATACACCTCCAAGGTTATCTGCATAATGTTATCCACGGCAAAGTTAAAGATGAGTGGAGGAAATCCGACAGTTCTGTTCAACCCTACTTTTCGTTTGAAGAAATGAAGAGAGGTCGTTATATACTCTAATTCTACGTGAAGTGTTTTTGTACAGGTTTCTCATGATGTTAACAAAGTACTCAGAGCACAGCCCTGTTCAAAGAATCGAAGGTAACGATCATTGGGCTGCAATACGTGTGACGGGATCAGTGGATCCAGAAAGTTGAAACTAACCTAAGCTGCTTTTTGTGGATCAGTTTTTCATGGGTTTTGTAGAGCTTGTGAAGCATGACAGCACCCATTACTTTGGGCCCTGCTGGTGGGAGACTGATACTCCTGTAACCAGCTTAAACATTACCCATATATTTTTTTGAAGTAGATACAGCAATGGCCTCACTTTACAGTGACAGATGACTCTTAGCCTGGTATGCTTTCAGTTTTCTGACTACAATGTAACGTATAAGCTTGGAAAAAGGCCAAGAGTTTCGGTTGGGTACGTTATTTCACTTTAGTTCCCGGAGTTCCGTGTAGACATTCGCTTCATTAGATAGGATTGCGTTAACTAATAATGGAGCACAAGGCATAACAATCGACGTTGTTTGATCAGTAGGTCAAATAAATTGTATTTCAAAGTGTTTCACTCAACTTTCCAGGCATCTATTAAAGTTGATGGTCGGTGTACCAACTACTTCAATAATACCGTGCTTGGATGAGGTGAAACAGCTTTTGACTACTGTCAGATGGCAGCTGCTATTGTTTCTACCTCCCTCGTGCGTTTTGAATATTAAGCCTCGCAGTTCTAATGGAAAAATCATATCATCTGTCACATAAGGCACTGATGAATATCATTGTAAGAAAAGGAAGAGTAGGTCAGGCAAGACGTTCTTTTTGGCGATTTCATCCTCAATACTTCGCAATCACCTATAATATTCTCATTTGATATCAATTTGTTTTGCTTAGAGAACGTGGTAACAAACAAGACAATTTGTTATTAGTTTGAAGATTACAAAAGTACAAGTTGAATTCTTGAAAATATGTTGCAAAGTGTGATAAAATATTCTGAGAATGACTTCTCATTACAAGGCATAGAAAGTAGAGTCCATATTGCGTAAGAAATTAGTAGAATAGGGAAACGAAAAGAAAGGATGGCTTTTAAAAATAAATAAAAAATTAAGACCATGAAAAGAGAAGGGGGCTAACAGGTATCTTCTGTATGCAAAGCTGTGGGTTTTCCAGTTGAATAATTAAGTCTTCAGCAATACAAAGGAGATGAACTTATACAGCCTTTTGTGGGATAACTTTGAAACATGAAGTTATAGAGATTCCGTTTTCACTCCTGACGAGGTCTTCAATCATTGCACACATTAGGGAACCATTGCTATTTCTTCGAAACCCATGTAGGATGGTTCCATATTAGATTCGCTTATTTGATATGTGGCACACAGTGATACAGTTATTATTTACTTGGTGGTGTTTCGAGCATAAATTATCATTCGTCGTAATCATATCGACATCTCATTTTTATAGTCCTATCACCTCATATTCTTTATTTCTATTGGTAGTAAAGTTTCCCGTCTCTCCGGTACAGGTGTTGTGTCATTCCTATTACACGTGTTGGAGGTTGGCTGGTTCCATGAACAGACGGACCATTCAGTAGTTAATCTCTCTCTCTCTCTCTCCATCTAATCATATTGGACTTCACTACAGTGATTTTATCCCATCCCATTGTGTGTTAATGCGTGGATTGCAATAGCTAAGTTCTTCTTCAGATTATTGATCTTATTCAGGTCTGTCATTCTATATTTAGCTAAATTCCTATGTTCTGCTGTTCTGATTGACTCCGACCGACTAGTTTGATCTACGTACTTGACCTGACTCACAGTCATTACATGGGATTAGATAGATTAGAGTATTTTGCTTAATTGGTTCTATCGGGTGCTGAAGCCAGTTGACAAAGCTTATCTGTGAGTGAATTTGTAGGTTTGAATGCCACACTAATTTCAGCTTTGTTGAGGATCCTAAGTAAAGTTTCAAATTTACCTATCTTACTTAAATTGATAGCACAGCACAATAGAGGCTTTGAACTCTCTCTACTCGTGTTGCTGTTACTTTTTCGTTTTCTTTGTGTTCCTATGAATTTTTTAATGAGCGGTAGAGGATAATTATTAAGTATTAACGCTTGTTTTATGTGCTTCAGTTCCCTGTTTCGGTCCTTGCACTGACTAGGCAATTTTCTAGCTCAATCACTTAGACATTTGATCAAACTTGCCTTCACCGACTGACATTCGATGAGGTGACTTGATGTCAGGAAATTTGTTAGAATGTGTCGGTTTACTGTAGACGCTAGTATTCATATCAGTCTGTCCTTCGTTTTATTATGCAATCCAATATAGGTAATTCTCTTTGTTCATTTTCTACCTCCTCGTAAGTGAATTGGATTGTGCCTACTACTGAGTCTATATATGCTAGGAAATTATCGATATGTTCCGATTTCAATACAGTGTGTCATCCACATATCATGAAACATAGGAATTTAGTTAAATATAGAATGAAAGAAGCGAATAAGACCAATAATCTACAGAGGAACTCAGCTATTGCAGTGTATGCAATAACACGCAGTAGGGTGGGATAAAAACCAATATTTATAAGTCGAATATAATTAGGTTGAGAGATTGATTACTGGACCTTTGTTCGTCGAAGCAACACGTAATAGGAATGATACAACACCTATACCAGAGATACGGAAACGTAAACTACCAACAGAAACAAAGAATATGTGGTAGCAGGACTTTAAAAATCAGATGTTGAAAGTTATGTGATTACACTGGTATGATTATGAGCAGTGATAATTTATACTCAAAACATCACCAACTGAATAGTACTATATCACTGTGTGTGTTATAGATCAAATAAACAAATCTAATATGGAATTAAATTCTACCAGTGCCCAAGTTTTACAGTTTTTGAGTCCTTTTGGATAGGACTTCTTTTGAATAATCGACATAAGCCAACTCCACAGGAGCAGATGAACAGGTGGTACACATATGTAGATGGTCAAAGCTGAAACATGCTTCACATTGTTGACTACTAGTGGGGAGTAAAATTAATGTCGTTGCAAAGAGTGTTCTTCTTCAAAAGTTTGGAATTCTTCTCTCTAGAATGTCAAGCCAAAGACTTAAGGAGTTTGCTTTAGTTCTGTGTCGAATAAGAAGTTGTACATGAGTCTTGGATTCTCATGTGATCCAGCTGCCAACAATATTTTCGATAAATTATTTTCAGTAGCTGTATATCTGTTGCAAAGAAAAAATATGTTCATCAGTGACTAATAGTTCGGTATAAGGTAATCAAAAAATTATTTCCAGGATTACTAGGTAAGGGTTGAAAGTCTGTGTTCGTAAATATTTTATATCACTACAAGATAATTACTTAACAATCTAGGGAATGATAGAGGAGTTCAGAAACGTGGGACAGAAGTTCTGAAATTAACAACTGTAGATTAAGGAAAAGAGGATGGAAGTAATAATGTTGAAAAACAGAATGTAAGAAGTCACATAAATATACTGGACCTAGGTAAAATTAGATATTGGACTCATCTTTTTATCGCAAAGATCAGGCTTGAACTGATGAGTTGCTAAGGCTCTTCTTATTTTCAGGTGGCGAGTTTGCGCTCTCTTCGAAATGTTTGATTTTCATTTATGAATGACTATGAGGGAAGATAATGCGGGAAAGCAGCAGAACCAGATGGAATCCTGCCAGAAGCGATGAGAATAGACGCAGGGACATG